ATGCTCCATCACTGGAGATTTTTTAAAAGAGGCTAGACAGTCACTTGTCTGAGATGGTATAGGTCAGTGGTGGCGAACCTATGGCATGGGTGCCAGAGGCGGACACTTGGAGCCCTCTCTGTGGGTACACGTGCCGTTGCCCCAGCCTTGCCTCGCCCTGCGACCCCCTCCTCTCCAGCAGCCCCCCTGAAGGAGAGTCGCCCCTGAGTGGCCCACACGGAGCAGCGCAGCCAAGGACATGCAGCCAGGCAGCATACACAAGACTCTGCCCTCACACCCCATCGTGCACAGTTGATGCTGCAGGGTGCGGGCAGAGGGCGTGGCCGCCATGGCACTGCTGGGCTGCCTGGACCATCTGTGGCAGGCCCTGGAGGCGATGAGTGGCCCTGCGGGCAGGCGGGGCAGGGGATGGGCGGAATGGGGGCGGGGCAGGGGCCAGTTTTTGGGCACTCGGTCTCTAAAAGGTTCGCCATCACTGATATAGGTTCTCCCGCTTGAGCAGCGGGCTGGACTAAAAGACCTCCAAGGTCCCTTCCAGCTCTATTCTATTCTAGTCTTATTATCTTTTCAGCATCAGGGAAATGCATTTTTATTCTTCTATGACTTTTAATCTAATGCTATAATATTCATGCAGCACTGGAGCTTTTAAATTGAAATTTGTTTTCTTTCTGCTGTTTACCACTTTAATTTTATGCATTTTTATATTTATGTTTATAAACTTTTATATATCAACATATATATCAAGAGCCAATATAATGTAATAGTTAAGGTGCTGGACTAGGAGTGGGTCCACCTTCAGCCATGGAAGCCAGCTGGATGATTTTGAGACAATCAGCTCTACACTGGGAAATAAAAAACCATCTACCTACTAACTTGCCCTGGATCAATATGGTAGATTACTCTCCAAAAACCATTAATGAAGCATTTAGAGTTAGGGTCAAGGTTTTTAGAACAGTATAAGTCTAAGAAAACTATATTATGAAGTACAGTGTGTACATTTTTCAAATAAATAATGCAGAATGTATTATTCTGCATACTGTGGAATAAAAAACAAAAAACCAAGAAAGGGAAATGGATTTGAGACTCTTGAAAGAGAATATGACTGGCTAACAGAAATCTTGCATAATGTATTGTTGTTAAAAGCCCCATTTTTAACTGTACTACCTAGGTTTTTCCTCTTTTGCTCCACTGTACCACGAATTAAGGGATTAAGAGAGTTTTTGCTCAAACACAGTATATCAGAGGTAAATGTGGGGGTAAAGCAGGACTTGGGATCAATTAAGTATTTTCATGGAATTTGTCACAAGCAGATTTATGAGCATTAGCATTTTGGTTGTCATTGCTGTTCCTGATTCCTTCTAATCCATGTGCTAAAATCAACTGATGAAGACTAACCAGTGGCTCTTCGTTACTCTTAGGGTGCAGGGGCCAGGATTGTCTCTTGGGAAAGGTTGTCTCTTTCAGCAATCACTGAAGACATATCTGTTCAGCCAGCAGTTCTCTAGCCAGCAGTTCTCTATTTGCAAGACCGCCTCCTACCAAACACCTCCCTTCGACCAGTCCGCTCCCACAGAGAGGGCCTCCTTAGAGTGCCGTCGGCCAGACAATGCCGGCTGGTGACCCCCAGGGGGAGAGCCTTCTCTGTGGCAGCTCCTGCCCTCTGGAATGACCTACCCCCTGACCTACGTACCGTTGCGGACCTGCGCCTTTTTTGCCGAGCCCTGAAGGCCCATCTATTCCGTACGGCCGGCCTGGCGTAGTTTGATTATGTTTCAGTGGGGGGTTTTTTACGGGTGTGTTTTTAGAACAGGCCTGTTATTTAATTCGATTTTAAAACAAACTATTTATTATCGTGGTTTTTAGTATCGCCTGTTCACCGCCCTGAGTCCCGCAAGGGAGATAGGGCGGTATATAAATTTAATAAATAAATAAATAAATAAATAGGGGTAGATTGCTCCAATTATACTTCTGAGTGAATTTGTTTTCAGTGAATCTTATTTTAATCTCTGTGTTTTTGTTATCTTTTTAGACTTGTTGGTTTTATTTTGCATGGGTTTATTTTAAATGGCTTTTACTTTCTTATAAACAGCTCTGAGTCCTTCAGGAAGAAAAGCTGTAAAGAAATAAGAGAAATAATAAGAAATAATATACAGGTAATCCTCGGCTTACAACCTACAATTGAACTCAAAATTTCTGTTGCTAACTGAGACACTTAAGTCAGTTTTGCCCCATTTTATGACTTTTCTTGCCCCAATTGTTAAGTGAATCACTGCAGTTGGTAGAGTTAATAACACGGTTATTAAGTAAATCTGGCTTCCCCATTGACTTTGCTTGTCAAAAGGTGATGACAAGACCCTGGGACACTTCAACTGTCATGAATATGAACTAATTGCCAAGAATCCAAATTTTGATCACACGTTCATGGGGATGCTGCTGTGGTGGTAAGTGTGAATAATGGTCATAAATAACTTTTTTCAGTGCCGTTGTAACTTCAAATAATCACTAAATGAATGGTTGTAAGCTGAGGACTATCTTCATCACACAATCCTTGACATGCTGGGAAACAGCAGGGATATCTGAGGGAATCAGAATGTGCATAGAAGCAATTTGAACCATGCTAAAGCAGAAACCTGTTTCCGACCTTCCCTCTTAGAGAATATAGGTTGGCCTCAGATTACAACCATTTATTCAGTGACTGTTCAAAGTTACAACAGCACTGAATGAAGGGGACTTATGATCAGTCCATAAAGTTGTGGCTATTACAACATCCCCATGGTCATGTGATTGAGGTTTTAGCACTTGGCATCCAGCTCACAATTTCAACATTTGAACCATCCTGCAGTGTTATCATTGCCATTTGCCACCTTCCATTCTGTCTTCCCGCAAGCAAAGTCAGCTGGGAAACTGGCAGAAGATGGTTCTTGCTGCTTTTTTGTCTGCCTGCCCATGCTCCAGAGTGCCCGCCCACAGCATCTGCCTGCCCCCCCCCCCACTCCATAGCACCTATAGTACCTACCCATCTGCCCAACCATGCCACTGCCTGTTTGTTTGTCATGGTTGGGTAGATGGGTAGGTGCTATAGGCACTATGGAATGGGGGGGGGGGGGTAGGCAGATGCTGTGGGCAGGCACTATGGAGTGCAGGCAGGCAGGCAAAAAAGCAGCAAGCAACCACTCATAGCACCTACCTCACTGCCTGCTGGGCTGCTTGCCTGGGAATCCCACCTCTTTCCACATTATTACGTGAGGTCCTTATTTAATGACCCACATGTTCCTGGGGTTTTGACAGCAATTGGGATTGCCATTGTTAAGCAATCCAGTCACTTGACATCAAGCTTTACAACCACATCCCAATTGCTTTTGTAACTTGAAGACTTCCTGCAAGGATGGAGACTGAAACTAAGTGGATGGAGTGTATTTGTACGTGGGCATGCTTCTTCCTCATGATTATTGTTGTTATTGTTATTTGTGAATTTATATGACCATCTATTTGGAATAACTTTTAGCCTCTTGGAATCTGCGTTATCTAAGATGTACCTCTTTGATGAGTATTTTGGAATGAAGGTTTGAAACACTTAAGCTGTTAACCAGAAATTCAGCCTGGTGATCTGGAGTTATTTCATCTCTCTCTCTCTCTCTCCCTGTCTGTAAGTCTGTCTGTCTGTCTCATTTATTCAGCTGTTGTATGAATACAGGGGAAATTAGGGGGGGGGGAATCCCATATGCTTCCTGAAGTCCTTGGAGAAGCAGTCAAATCAAAATATCTTTAGTAAAATTATTCAGTAATGTGGGATTGGCTTAAAGCAGTGTTTCTCAACCTTGACAATTTTAAGGCATGTGGACTTCAACTCCCAGAATTCCACAGCCAGCAATGCTGGCTGTGGGAATTCTGGGAGTTGAAGTCCACATGCCTTAAAATTATCAAGGTTGAGAAACACTGGCTTAAAGCCTCTACATAGTAGCGCCTGGGGCTTTCTTGGATAAGATCTGGATCTTTTGACTATGCTAGTCAGAATTAAAAATAGAATTATTTTTAATTGTCTGGAATGAAAGTATGTACAGAAATTAATCTATTAGATGGAAGAAAACACACTGACCACGATTCTAAATCCTGTATTGCTTGCTTTTCCCCTCTTGTTTTATCTCTGCGTCCCAGTATGGGTAAAGAAGATTCTGCCAGGTGAGAAAACCAGCTTTGGAAATTCAGATGTTAAAATGGTCTCATTTTATTGACCTTGTATTGTTCTAAGTTGCATCCCAGGCTTTCCCTCCAAGTTTCCATATTAGAGGTAATCAACCTGCAATCCTTGGCCTAACTTTGTCAGCCTTGTGGTGGTGGTTGTGGGGAGTTAAGATTGATAGCAAAAGAAATTTGTCCCTTTTCCAGCAAACTGCAGGGCTGAAAGAAAAAAGTATTGGTAAAACAAAATTGGTGAATGGATGGGGATGAGAAAGAGACAGAGAAAAGATGGGAAAAAAGAATAAAAATGGTTATTTATTCCTTTCTAAATATGAGATGACCGCTTTTATGCCCCAGGGCCACATATGGACTTAGAAAGCCTTGCGTGTGGCCCCCTGTACAAGCATACCTCATTTTATTGCATTATGCTTTATTGCGCTTTGCAGATACTGTGTTGTTGTTTTTTTTACAAGACCCTCCACCAACAAAATGATTATGGCTTGCTGAAGGCTCCGATGATGATTAGCACTTTTTAGTAATAAAGTCTTTTTTTTAATTAAGGTATCTACATTGTTCTGTTTTTAAGACGTAACGCTGTTGCACACTTAACAGACTACAGTTTATTGTAAACATAATTTTTATATGCCCTTGGAAACCAAAAAAATGTCTGTGACTCACTTTATTGGAATATTTGCTTTATTGCAGTGGTCTGGAACCGAACCCACAATATCCCCAAGGTATGCTTGTACTTCTTCAAAAGTCACCCTCCCCCACTGTAATGCTTAATGGAAGAAAAGAGGAAAATAATTCAGACAGGGAATACCATTAACCACATTTATTGAACATTTACAATTAACGACGATTAACTCAAATTTAAAAGTGCTCCTTGCTTACCCACTCCTTTGTCTCGGATCTGTCTGCTTTCAAAATGGCATGAAATTGTCTGCTTTCAAAGTGGCACAACCCTGGTATGCCAGTCTGTGGTTGGGTGTAGCCCTCAGCTTGAAAAAATATGCCTTGTTTATTACTAGCCGACGCAAAGACCATGTGCACCCAAGATCTGATGGAAAGCATTATTTATGTCTGGCAGCAAATGCAGGTCTTTCTAGGATCCAGGTTCAGGTGCAGGGGGCCCAAGGCAATCCAAGGTGTAACTGAGGCAAGCCAAAATCCAAAAATGGCTTCTTCTTGAGAGTAAAACCAAGAAAACTATGGTTTGCTGCCTTTTTAGTCTGCTGCCTTACTCCGTCCAATGGCAGAGCTTGTTCTAACAGGAAATTCCCCATGGAGGCCCACTGGCCCTTTGACGTGGCAATCCGATGGTCCTCTCCCTCGACAATGCTGAACCTTACCAGTTGTGGTTGCTGTGGCAATAGCTCGGCCAATTTCGGGCAGTTTCCGCTCATCTCAGGTAAATAGCAAGGAGATGGTCCCGGTCTCTGTCTATGCTTGCCTGCCATATCCTTCTCTGAAAATAGGCTTATAATAATTCAGTTCCACAACAATATGCTTGCCTGTACTTGCCTGGGTATTATCTTGTGTGCCTCCAAAGGACATGTCCATTGAGATTGACCTGCAGGGAACACACTGTGCTGTTCAAAAAGGGACATTTCTTTTCCTGGTTGTGCCAAGCAAGAATTTTGGGTAGAAAGTTCTCTTGCTCTTTTCCTTCTTCCTTTCTTCAGTTCCCCTTTGCTCTCAGGTAGTCTGCTAGTTTCTCCATCGCCTCGACACAGACACTGGGGTACATGCCTTGGCAATAGGTTCCGACCAGGACGAAGGCTCCGGTTTTAACTAGTATCACTCCCTCTTCTTTTGCTTTAAGATAGATGGAGTTGCCATCTGCTCGGAAGCATTTATAAAAACGGTCTTTAAAGTACTGCCCTTCCTTTCGGATTTGGGCCGGGTTGTTGTAGAAGGCTTGGACAAAGACTGAGGCCCAGTTCTGAATATTAAAGCCTGGAGTTGCTGTCATCACAGCCATGTCGGATATTCTGATAAGGGCAGCATTGGCTACATGCTTTGTCTTGACGAGACCGTCAATCAGCAGAGTTTGTGCCTGGTTCATCTCCCTCTGCGTTTGGTAAATAAGGCTTCTGGTAACTAAGGCTTCAGCTTCTCCTTTGAGAATGTAAACAGTTTAGTTGCCCTGGTTTCTCCCAAGGAATTCTGGGAATTGTAGTTTATGAAGAATGCTGAGCTTACATGCTCAGCCATAGGCTAGCCACTAGGTAGAGGAGTAGAGTTACCTCCAACCTCTTCTACATGAAATTACAAAGTTTGTGTTGTTTTTAAATCTCTTTCCTTTTTAAACATAGAGATACAGAGCAAAGTGTGCAAGGAGAATTTTTTCCAACAGATTTGAAAGGTGAGCGGAAATCACTCTGTGTTCTAATCCTTGTGTCTTAACCTTGTATTGACTGCACTGATGCTTGAATAGCACTCCTACACCCCTTCTGCCCCCAAATTAAATACCAACTGTACCTCAAAAAAAAAATGACATTGAAGATGTCAGACAAAAATTAGAGCAAAGGAATCTATTACTTCCCTTATTGGAATTTTAGCAAATGTAAAATGACTCCCCAATTATAAATTTATTTTGGGGGGGGGCATAGTTTTCCTTTCAGATAGATATGATGTCAGTAATAATAAAGACATAAGAATGATCTCTCTATTAATCTTGGATCTTTTATACTGCTTCAAAAACCTGCAGAATCCATTTGATTAAAGACAAAAATGAAACACAGTAAAATTGTTCTGATTTTCTTTAATACTTCCATTATTGATCCTTAGAAGTGCCATCTATCAAATAGATGTTTCACAGTGTTTGTTCATAAATAAAGTCACTGACATTTCTAAGAAATCTTTCTGAAACTGCAAATAGACCATTTGAGAAGTTCTTATTAAACAATTATTAAACAATTATTAAACAATTATTCCGGATCTCCTTACTTTCCGCCGCGCCCTCAAGACATGGCTTTTCCAACAAGCGGGCCTGGCCTAGGGAGGATTTTTAAATTGGGTTTTTTAGAAATTTTAATTATCACAACACTAAAATATTGGTTTTAATTTGGTTTTATTCGGTGGGGTGTGTGGGTCTCTCTTTGTTTTTAATAATGTTGTGAGCCGCC